AGCAACGTGCCCTGCATTTCCTGGGACCTGGAACCATCCTCCAAAGTCTTCAGCTTCGTCGGATGGTGGCAGCCCTGCCATACTTGTTCAAGCTGCACTACATTCCATGGCCTCCCCAGGTAAAGGCCATGCTGCCACCAACCAAGCCCCCTGCCGTAGCTAGCATGTGCACACGGCAAAAACGTCAGACGCACCATGCCTTTCAGCTGAAGTGGACACACCCTCGCACAGCCCCTGACTACCTCCTGCAATCCTTCCACTTCTTCGCCATCACACCCTGGAACAACCTGCCTGCGGACCTCCTGCTTCACGAGCCTTATTCAAGACGCCTCCAAACCTTCAAGGTCAACGTATGTAAGGATCCAATCCGAAAGAGATGGCTGTGGTCCACACAGTACCTGTGACGATGATATTGAGACCCATTTAGTATTTACCTCTCTACTAGTACTTGCTTGTTATGATTATTGTTCTCTTTCTTCATTTTCCCTTCTGGTTTAGTCATTACACGTATTTATATTATTTGGTGCAATACTAGCGCCCCTTTCTCGCACCAAATTATTATTTTTGCTACCTGACCATGCAACCCCCCCCCTTTTTTTCGATGCCAGGTTGCCACGCTAACGCCAAGACCCCTGGTCGGTCGAGTCGCTCCCTGTACATCGGCACGTCGTCCCTACATCCCCTGTGTCTTGTCTTGTGTTTGTCTCCACATGTCTCTTTGTAGGGCTGTGTTCCCAATAAATAAAAAATACAAAATAAAAGACATGATGACCTCTCGAGTTGTTGGTCTCCATTGCAAGTTTGAAGCTTAGCGTTGGCTCCATGATGGGTGCGGAATTCTTTTCTCATATTTTCTCCAGAGTGGGAGCTGTAAACCATGGGAGGAATCATAGGAGTGCCTGGCCAGCACCCAACCAACATGTACCGGTCCTTCAACGCGGGTGCATCCTTGGCCCGCGCAGGCTGTGCGTGCGTGCCTGACTGGCAGACACATGTTCACCACCCCCCCCCCCCCTATCCTACTCAAGGGCTGCGGCCGCGCCGGCTTCCCACGGCTTTCGTAACAGGACTTCCCAGGCTGCACCAGCGAGAGTTGTAATCCATGGTAGAGATCATTGGGACGACGATTATCTTGGTATTTTGTAGGCAAGTGGTGTTCGTGCCTCCATGCAAGCTGTCACTGCTTCGATACTGTGAAATATTTCATCGTCAGAAGCACAAATACAAGGCTAGTCCCTGAGCGCAGATCTCTAATTAAATACATGTACAAAAGAGAAAGACAAAGGAACTACAAGTTACGCTATACTGTCCACTAACACCACCAGTTACTAAACAATCAGCTCATGCGATAACATTGCACGACACTGACCGACGGTACTGATGTTCTACAACTAACTGGCTAAAAGGTCTAGCACATCCAACAGCTAACCGGTGTAACTGGTGGTGCTAGTGGACAGTATAGCGTAACTTTTAGTTCTTTGGTCTTTCTCTTTTGCATAGAATAAACCTTGGCTCTCCATCAAAATACATGTACCTACCATATTCGGTGAAAAAAGAACTGAAAAGACTTGGCCAGATTATTCTCCAGCTCTACTTTCTCTTAGTTCCGTTCTTCTCCTTGTGGTGTTGCATTTTTTTCTGGTGCCTGCTTGTGGCATTGAAGTCGAGACCTTCGGTCGGTTGGGCCCAGAATTGTTCTTCTCCATGTGGTGTTCTACATAAGAACTGTTGTCAAGATTGCGTATCTCTTTAGATATCACGTGACTGCCTATATGACTAGAATAATATTATTATGTTACTGAACTCTGGTACAACTGGCCACAATTAACTGTGCTGAGACCTACTTCATTAGGAACGTCAGACACGCGCTGCTGCAGAGTTCTCATTTCGACATTATACTGAGTCCATGAGTCATAGAACTCCGATGATGTCATTTCGATGCCTTCCTCCACTCGACTCAGCAAAGGCAGCTCTTCTTATTTGTCTCCATCTGGTTTTAGTTGCACATTCAACCAGGTCTAAATTTATCAATGAAGCGCTACCAGATAAGATACGCCTTCTTCTGACTCTGAGGCACATAGAGTAGACTCTATCTCGGCTGTTTCACATTCCCTTCGCGTCTTCTCCATGGCTCTTCGTGTATTGCAAACAAAACGTGTTGTAAATTCCCTCAACCTATTTGTTAGGGCACCGCTGACCTCAGACGAAGGTCACTGATTTGAATCCTGGTGGTGAACAGTCAAATCCTTTCTGCAGTCATTTCCCGTTGGTGTCTTCCCTCTAACCAGTGAATGGTAATCCCTATTTCGCATTAATGCAACAGCTTTGGTTGGGCATGAATATTGCCATATGCGTAGCTACAAAGAAGTATAGATCCGCACTGATCTCATCACATCATAAAGTGTACATTGTTAGATCTAAAACTTTAAAAAAAGTGTCAAGTAAAGTCGGCTGAATAGCGCGAGCTCCGGTGTGGGGAGCAAACCCTTTCTTATAAAACTAATACGATAGACACTAATATTCTAAAAAATGGGTTGTGAGCAACACTGGCTCACACTCAAATCACTGCTTTTCACCAGAAAAATATTATATTTCAACGTTTCGGTCATGAAATAACCCTCATCAGGAATGAAGTGGGCACACCGGTTAGGATGGGTTAATAAATGAGGAGCGCTGCGAACTGATGACAAATCACACCTGCATGCACTATGACGAGGAGAGAACAAAAGGACAAAACATCACCAAAAAAACAGGTATAGAAATAATGCAATACGCGACAACTCTAAATATGGCACAGGTCCAGGCAACAAACAGAATGTACATGTGCACTGGGTGCGTGCAGACATGTAATTGCAGGCGCTAGCAACAACAGTAGTAGTATGCACTAGTGCAAGGGGTGCAAAACCACCACTATCCAGGAAGAGCGAGTATTAGGGCCAGAAATATGTACAAGGCAGTACTTCACCAGAGACTTCACAGGAGGTCCCACCCTGCGTTATTGTTTATGCTGGGGCTCGTGTCGCGAATTTGTATTGCTTCGCGTATTCTCCTCCTGGCCCGATCCGACTCAGTGGCAAGGACGCGAACCTCTGTGAATGCCGACTCGCCAAGCGGCAGTACCTCGCCGCCATGGTGAAGTCGGTAGTGCTCGCCCAGGGCTTTTTCAGACGTCTTGTTGCGTGAGTTATCATTGTGTTCTTTTGTTCGCGTTGCTACACTACGGCCAGTCTCTCCAACATACTTCTCCGAGCACTTGCAGGTCAGACGATAAACCACGTTGCGTCTTGTGCACTCTACCTCGCTGGATTGGCATGCAACGCAGGCGGCTTTAGGCCTTCCTCGTCGCCTCGGGGCAGCGAGATCCACCCACTTACGGCAGCAAGTTCCAGTGAGGCTGGACTTAGTGACGCTGTTGGAAAGCCTTGCATTCTTGTAGATTATCTGTACATTTAGATTGTATTTTTTTAGAAGACGGTGGGCCTGTAGTGGATGGCATCCGTTTTGAATGGTAACTTCAACGTGGATCGATAGTCTTTCTTTTGTTTAGCAGGTCGTCTGGCTCGTTCATGAGCAGTCGCGATAACTTTGTCAGGAAAGTTGTTGAATTTTAATGTGTCAATAACCTTTTGCTCACTTCGCTGGCGGGCTGCAGGGTCAGAGGAAAGGCGGGCCGCGCTGAGGAATTCCGAAGACGCGATGGCGAGTTTTTGCTTTTGCGGAACGCACGAGTTGAAGTCTGAGACGAGGCCACTGTGGCAAGCTTTGCGGAACAGCTCGAATGATATTGCGCCCTCGGAGGAGACATGAATAGTCGTGTCCATAAAGTCAACCGACCCAGTTTCCTCCGAAGATTGATACGTGGTCATAGTGCATGCAGGTGTGATATGTCATCAGTTCGCAGCGCTCCTCATTTATTAACCCATCCTAACCGGTGTGCCCACTTCATTCCTGATGATGGTTATTTCATGACCGAAACGTTGAAATATAATACTTGGAAGTATTTTTCTGGTGAAAAGCAGTGATTTGAGTGTGAGCCAGTGTTGCTCACAACCCATTTTTTACTTATGAAGCTGCGTGATGCGTCCTACAAGATTTTAAAACTAATATTCTAAAGCAAAGTACTATTAAAGGCGTGACTACATGGGCAGGGAGCAGTGTAAAATCAAGTGTAGATTGGAGAAATGCAGGTGACAAAGGTACATGATTGTAAGTGGAACTTAACATACCAAAACTCACCTACCCACTCACATACATAATACCTTTCTCACCTGTTTCCTGTGTATATTTGTGCATACTGTGCGTCACAATATATGTCATTGTGCGTAGATAATACGACCTAACAGCCAAGCAATTTGACCCAACGGTTACCACCTTCAATCCAAATTTGTCCACCTTCGTTGTTAATACTGACATTACACTACTTACCTGTACATTTCGCGGAATTCAACATGTTCAGGTAATCGTTTAGTACAGAGATTTTGCAGAGGGAATCCTTCGCGCCAACTTTTGCTTGATGGGACAAAATTCGAAATTTCACGCGCACACTTGCGGCTTTAAATACAGAAATTGAAGCAAATTTGCTCATCGCAGAAAGATGGTGAACCATCCGTATGCCATGCTTTGCGCTTCACTAGGGACAATGCAGTGTATTCACACGTTACTTTGTCTGATAGTGCAAGTTTTCCGATATGTACCAACAAAAAGCAAGCAAAACTCAAACGTCGCAGGAACTTTAGCCCAAACTTTCGCAAGCCCAGACGCGAAAATCCGTGCCAAGTTTCGCTCTGCAAAACGTCATTGTGCTTACACATTTATGGCACAGAGTGTTTCAACACTGTGATAAGACAGTAACTTTCAACCATTAAAGTAAGTTGCTGTCGAGGACGGTTTCAAATTGTTCAGTTGTGAAGTGTAAACTGTTCTTGGTGTTATCTCGGTGTTATGCAATTGAACAGTAGCTTAGACTACTGTATGAGATTTGCTTTTGTTCGTTTTTGAAGATGCGGCCACCATGTGTTTTCTGCCAAGATGGAGACGGGAAAGCTGGAAAACTTCTCAGGTGTCTTCACAAGATCTGCCTAGACTGTCTTCCGGACAGTGTTCAGCAAGATGGAAAGATACGCTGTTCCAAATGTCGACGTTCTACGCCATGTCCACCGCCTGGTCGCACTCACCAACAGGTGTTGGTTGATGATTCCATGTTCCACACTGCTCCAGATAGTCACGATGGAACCAAGCAGACGAACGAGACAGACAATGTTCTTGAAGTATTCGCTGATGAAAATATGAACCTGTCTAGCATCCCACAACAGCCAACGAGCTCTTTTGTCGTCCGTTCCACTGTGGTGGATGCTCAAGGTTTTCACAAGCAGATACCTCACGGCGGGCGAGTGCACGTTTGCCCTTACCACAGCACGATGAAGTTACGGTATTGGTGCACTCGCTGTCGAGAGGTTTTGTGTGAACGTTGTAAGTTGCAAGTCAAGCACGCGTCACATATGAATCAGATCAATGAAGCCACTGAAGTAGCCGCAGCGCTAAGACACAGACTTACGGAGCGCCTTCGCAATCTTGACCCTGATGACAAAGGAAAGGAAGTGGACGAAAGCCTGGACTACGCCGGTAATCTAGTCACAGCATTTGAGTGTTACTCTGCAAGCCAAGTGTCCAGTATCAAGACAATGATACATGAGCAGTGCCAGGATCTACTTTTCAGAGTAAAGAAGCGAAAAGAGGAGCTGATTGGCGAGGGTGAAATACGGAAGAAGGAGTTTATCGAACTCGTAGACCATTGCCGGGAGACGAACAATGTGACAGGTACTCTTCAGCACATACTTGATGCACGCAGATATGCTCTAAGAAATGAAGACCTCATTCAAATGAGTCCAAAGTCGATTCAATGTCTTACAGAAGCGTACCATGACATTGTGGCCAAAGGAAGTTCGCGAATGCCGAGAATGATATTAACGTGCAAGCAGTCTTCCAAATTGGATGGACACTTTGGTGCCATGGGTAAAGTCGTGGATAACACTGCCATCGACTTGTCGAGTTGTTCCTTTCCTCACAAGACGTGTGTGGCGTTTGTAGGGGATCGTGTGAACCTTACAGCTCTAGTGAGAAATAGTCGAAGCCAACCGTTGTCTGATACCGCATTGAAAGTCTCCAGCATTCAAATCTGGGCCACTAGAATTGAAAGTGGGTTTTCTCCGGCAGCTCCAGTGCTAGTGCCGATATCAGGTTATAGCAAAGGGGAAGTGCATGCCCATGTCCATCTTAACTATAGTCAACCGACTGCTTTTCTCTTAGAACTATTGCTGAATACTCCTAGTCGTTTACCAGGCTTTCAAAACGGTTCATTGGCCAGGAATGTAAACATGTATTTCCCTTTAAAAACTTGGTTGTTCGTGTTCAGATCCAGAGCGAGCTACCTTGCCCCACATTTCATTTATCCCAGAGAATCCGTAAAAAGTGGGGTAATGATGTGCAATTTATCCCAGGCTTTCCCGGGCGTGGAAATTCGCCAAGTTAAGGATGGAGTTGCTACGGCACGCGCCACTGAACCAGTTCAAAACCGTGACTTTGGAGTAACATTCATTGTTATACAATGCACATCCGGGAAGCTAGACATCGGATTTACTTGGCACTGTGCAGAGACTAGCCACGCGTCTTCCGCTAATTCGAACTCCTCGTCTTGTCCTATTTGCGATGTAGTGACTGGAGACCTCATACACATAACACGCTGTCCCTACAAGCAGGATAAGTATAACATTGACCACTACTGTATTGGCTCTGGATTGTTGAAGAGCCACCATGATGTACGAATAGGTCCAAATATAAAGCCAACATTAATGGTGCGAATGTTCGGCTGTGGTACGCTCATGAAGGTTTATGAACACAATAAAGAACAACGGAATATATTTATGCAAAATGCGAAACGCCTTTTGGACGCCCAGTCACAGCGTGTGGAGAATAGAACACGTATCGCGTAGTATGATAACCCTACCCCGACTCATTGATCCTGCTCTTTTCTTTCTGATCACGTCATACTGAACTACTCCTTGTGGCTCAGTTAAGAAGCTGCCTTATTGGCCATGGTCTATTGTGGCATTAAAGAAACGAGATCTTGTTTTGTCTTGTCATGATAAACATTTGCGTTTTGTTTATAGTTTTGTTTATGTATGTTTTTTCTGATTGTATTGTAATTCGCTTAAACGGTGCCCTTTTTTTCATGCAAACTTACAACAAAAATAAAAATTGATTTGGTTGATGTCCGACCAAATTAACCAATGACTGTTCTTTGGATAGCTAATGTGGGTATCGATGGTGTTTGTTTGCCTTTCATGTGTCAATCGGAAAAAACGTTTTCAGATTCACACGCAGCCAACGGTATTGCTGACCAGCACACAGAGAGGATATGCAGGTTATGATAGCACATTTACAAAACAGCACGACAAGCAATTAGTGTGTTGCCTCGCAACCTTAACACACCAGGATACATGGAAGATTTTGCAATGGACGAGCTAGGATATATTTAACCATCATCACCACCACCATCACAAACGCGTTACTATAAGACATGATGACCTCTCGAGTTGTTGGTCTCCATTGCAAATTTGAAGCTTGGCGTTGGCTTAATGATGGGTGCGAAATTCTTTTCTCATATTATTCCGAAAGTAGGAGCTGTAAACCATGGGAGGAATCATAGGAGTGCCTGGCAAGCACCCAACCAACATGTACCAGTCCTATAGCGCGGGTGCATCCTTGGCCCGCGCAGGCTGTGAGTGCGTGCCTGACTGGCAGACACCTGTTCACCCCCCCCCCCCCCCCTACCATGCTACTCTAGGGTTGTGGCCGGGCCGGCTACCCACGGCTTTCTTGCCAGGGTTTCTCAGGCTGCACCAGTACGGACGTACTTAAGCTCAGCAATGGAGCCAGCACTGCATACAACGGTGACATCTTGCTATCAGCGCCCTGCACGAAAGCACCAGAGGTTAAAAGGGTCTAATGGACTAGAATACAAGGCCGTCTACGTGGGCCGTTTTGATTTAGAAAAGCGATCCTGTCAGCTTTTCTATTATTGTGTTCACATGGCAGAAAAAACGACATCACCGCCACTACCCATATGATTCCCCTGCAGAAGAACATGAATATGCAAGACTAGTGCCATTTTCTGCAAGAAAAGGCTTGCACATCAATGTGTATAATACGGTATTGAATTTGATATGATGCACATGTAGAGGCGCTACATGTAGGCCATCATATTATAGGGCATTCCATTGGTGACACAATCAGGCCGCATCACTCAACAGAACTGAGTTTGTCGTTCAATTCACTTGCACCACCGATCTTTCACCATTCTTTCAACATTCTTTCACCATTCTTTCAGCATTCTTTCACTATTCTTTCACCATTCTTTCACCATTCTTTCGCCATTCTTTCACCATTCTTTCACCGTCCTTTCACCATTCTTTCACCATTCTTTCACCATTCTTTCACCATTCTTTCACCATTCTTTCACCATTCTTTCACCATACTTTCACCATTCTTTCACCATTCTTTCACCATTCTTTCACCATACTTTCACCATTCTTTCACCATTCTTTCACCATTCTTTCACCATTCTTTCACCATTCTTTCACCAATCTTTCACCATTCTTTCACCATTCTTTCACCATTCTTTCACCATTCTTTCACCATTCTTTCATCATTCTTTCACCATTCCGCTTTCACCATTCTTTCACCATTCTTTCACCATTCTTTCACCATTCGTTCACCATTCTTTCACCATTCTTTCACCATTCTTTCACCATTCTTTCACCATTCTTTCACCATTCTTTTACCATTCTTTCACCATTCTTTCACCATTCTTTCCTGCTTCTGGACAACATACTACTGTCTAAGTACAAATTTTCGTTTGGAATTAACTTTCGCTATATCCGTTAGTGGCCACGGAATAACTAAAGTTCGTACCAAAGTAAAGTTTTTGTCTGAACTTTCGGGGGACAGACCTTGACCAAAAACCAAAATTAATACGTAACAAGCCTGCTAGTGGAGCGATCTAACGAAAGATTTTGTGAACGAAATTTTCACGTATACAGTACTAAAACTCCCAATGAACCTACTCACTCATCTTCATCCTTCTCAGTACTCTCACTTAGCTGCCGCTCCAAAGTGAATAAGCTAGCTTAGCTCAGTCAGGTCTGTCATCAGTATTCTGCAGACATAATCTGCCTACGTTAAGCGTGGCTGACATACCGTCTTGACCGCTGAACTTTGATCCGCTGTGATAATCTACCAGAAAAAGGCTATGGCGGTGTTGCTACTCTTGTAGCTGACAGGTGGTTCTCCTCCATCAAGCGCCGGCTCGACCTTGAGCGCTGTGGATTGGAAGTGGTTTGGCTCGAATTGCGGCCAGTAACCTTTCCCTCACTTCTCCTCATCATCTGTGCTCTACTTACAGACCCCCTGGAGACAGAATCTCCCAAGTGCAGGCATTTAGTGAGCTCATAGAGGACTGTCTGTCAAGTATCAGCCTCGCCAAGGCTGCGCCAGTACTAGCAGAAGACTTGAATGCTCGCCACTCTAACTGGTGTGCTAGTGACATCACGAATCATGCTGGAAGAGAGTTCCATAAACTCTTCTCTTGTTTTGGCCTTGAGCAAATGGTGACATCCACCCCCCCCCCCCCCCTGGCTTACCATCGTGTATTGACGTTGTACTCATGGATCATCCTCAACTGTTACCCTCTCCTACGTCTGTTGCTCCTCTTGGTGCATCTGACCACGCACAGATCCTCAGTCACTTCCTACTGCTTACTGATGCTGCTTATCGTACATGAGGAACCTGCTGCAAACGGAAATCCAGCTGCAGCACCAGCAGAATCATAAATTACACCCACACTCATGATGACGTAACATCACGTCGAACCTTAGCACCGATCGCGACAAAAATTACGCTATTACAGAGTTCACACTGACTTCGTCGTTACCAAGACTACTAGGAATATTTTGCCTAATTACCTGCTGTGGCCTTTATGTGGTTCACAATACATGACATTGTAATCGTACGTGGATAATACGACCCATCAGCCAGGCAACTTGACCCAACGGCTTCCGCATTCAGTACAAAGTAGTGCACTTTCGTATGAAATACACACATCACACGTCTTATGAATGGCGCTGAATTAAACTTGTTCAGGTACTAGGACAGTAGACATGTAGATAGTTTTCAGAGTGAACCCCAGCACCAGAATTTTCGCTTGATGTGTCGGGTTGCTAAATTTCACGCAATGTTTCGCAGAAACGTTCGATCACCGCGGACAGGTGGTGAGTTAATCGCACTGAATGGTTTGTGCAGTGGATTTACACGTTGATTTCTCTGCTAGTGCTAGTTCTCCGATTAGGACCAGCTAAAGGCAAGCAAAACGCACACGTTGTACGAACACTCGCCCAAATTTTCGCAAGCTCAAACGCAAAATTCCTAGCGAAGTTTCGCTGTGCACATACAAATGTATGGAGCTGGAACTTTCACCAATCTGACCAGGCGGACACTTTCAGCTATTGAAGTAAGTCGAATATAACAACGGTTGGAATCTATTTAGTTGGGAAGCGCAAATTGTTTTTGGTGTGTTCTCCGTGATATATTGGTGAACAGCAGCTTACACTAGTCTAAGAGATTTGGTTTTGTTGTTTGTAAGATGCGGCCATCGTGTGTGGTCTGCAAGGACGGAGCGGGGAAGGCGGGAAAACTTCTCAAGTGTCTTCACAAGATCTGCTTAGACTGTCTTTCAAACAGCATTCAGCAATATGGATGGATACGCTGTTCGAAATGTCGGCGTACTACCCCATGTCCACCGCCCGGTCGCAGCCATCGACAGGTGTTGGTTGATGACTCCATGTTCGACAGTGTTCCAGATAGTCATGATGGAACCACGAAGACAAACAACAAATGTATTGATCTTCAAATCGCTGATGAAAGTATGCACCCTTCTAGCATCCCACAAGAAACAGCGAGCTCTCACGAGGTCCGTTCAACCGTGGTAGATGCCTATCGTTTCCATAAACCAAACCATCATCACGGACGAGCGCACCTTTGCCCGTTCCATATTAATATGGAGTTACGGTATTACTGCAATAGATGTCGGGAGGTTTTGTGTGAAACGTGTAAGGCACAAATCAAGCATGCGTCACACATCGATCAGGTCAATGATGCTACTGAAACAGCCGCAGCGCTAAGGCAGAGACTTATGGAGCTCCTGCGCATCATCTTCCCTGAGGACAAAGAAAAGGAAGTGAACGAAAGTCTTGAGTACGCCAGTGATCTCGTCACAGCATTTGAGTGTGACTCGGCAAGTAAAGTGTCCAGGATCAAGACAATGATACATGAGCAGTGCCAGGACCTACTTCTTAACGTGAAGAAGCGAAAACACGAGCTGAGAAACGGGGTTGAATTTCGGAAAGAGGAGCTAGTCGAACTTCAAGAATGTAATCGGGAGTGGAACAGTGCAACGGGCGCTGTTCAGCACATACTCGAGGGACACAGACATGCTCTAACAAATGAAGACCTCGTTAAGCTGCATCCGCGTTCCATTCAACTTCTTTCACAAACGTCCCGTGGCATTGTGGCCAAAAGACGTTCGCTAACGAGAAGAATAACATTAAAGTGCAAGAACCTTTCCGAACTAGAAATACACCTTGATGTCATGGGTAAAGTCGTGGATAACACTGACATTGATTTGTCAAGCTGTTGCTTTCTTTACCCGTCGTCTATTGCGGTTGCAGGAGAACGATTTGTACTTACAGCTCGAGTGAGAAATGGACAAGGCCAACCTTTGTCTGAAGCCGCATTTAAAGTCCCCAGCATTCAGATCTGGGTAACTCGAATCGGAGGTGGTTTTTCGCCGTCAGCGCCAGTGCAAGTGCTGATATCAGCGTTTGGAAAAGGTGAAGTGCATGCAGAAGTCCAGCTTAACTGTAGTCAACCGACTATCTTTCTCCTAGAACTGATGCTGGATACCCCTTGTATCTTATCAGCATTGAAAAAAGGTTCAATGGTCAGGAATGTAGAGCTTTGTCACACTCCAATAGCGTCGGTGCATGTGTTCAGATCCTGGGCCAGCGTCTTTCACCCAATGTGCTGTTCTCCCAGAGAGTCCATACGAGCATACCCACTCCTAACGTTTCTTTCACAGGCATCCACATTCTTCCGAGCACGCCAAGTCCGGGATGGAGTTGCTACGGCACGGGGCTCTAAACCGATTCAAAATCGAGACTTTGTAGTAGCAATCATCATTATAAATTGCCCATGCAACAAGCTAGACATCGGATTTACATGGGACTGTGCAGAGACTAGCCAAGAAATGAAACTTGTACTCGCGTCCTCAGCTAATTCGCACTCCTCGTCTACTCCTATTCGCAATTTAGTGACTGGAGACCTCATACACGTAACACGCTGTGCCTACATGCAGTGTAAGTATACCATTGACCACTATGATCTTCGCTCTGGATTGTTGAAGAACAAACATAGCGTACGTATAGATTCCAGTACGAAGCCAATATTAATGGTGCGAATGTTCCACTGTGATACACGAGTTGATGTTTTTGAATTTGATAAACAACAAATAAATAAATCAATGCAAGAGATAAAGCCTTTTTGACTCCAAGCCCCAGTGAATGGACAATAACATAATTATACAGGTAGACTCCCTTTAATTCGAACCTCAAATTGCCAGGCCCTGACTTCGAATTATCCAGAACTTCTAATTATCCAAATGCAGCCCCATGCACTGATATGTATGTTAAAATGCTTGAAATCGCTTGCTGAATATTTTTTGCACATTTTTACTTGCATCAACGAAACATAGGTACGGGTCATGTACAACGGATCATCAAAACACTGGATCGACACAAAACCATTTTGACATCTTCTAGTGAAGAAGTTGTCAGTCACTGCAGCTTTCCTGAAACAATTTCAACGGAAAAGAACTGCGCTGCCTAATCGGCGTCATGAAAGGCCGTTGGTCAGCAGCACGTCGTTCTGAAGAACGGAAGTGGAGCAAAGGCATAGGCAATATTTACGACAATAGTGTTGTTGTGCGCCAACATCTCCGCGCACGAGCTGGCGCGGTAAGAAAGGCCATCGAGATCCGCGAAGAGAGTCAGCCACCAGGAAGAAGTCGTCTTCAATCAAACCTTTGCAATTTGCCTCGCACGGGCTTGAATCAAATTTCGAGAGAAGGTGGGTTTCTTGAACGCTATAGGCGATCCTGCAGCGGACCATCGATCAATTTTTGAGCTACTCTTGGCTAGAGAAGGAGAAAAGAATGAAATTCGAATTACAAGGATTGCAACTCAATCTCACTTCGAAATAAGCGTTCAAAGGACATAGCCAATGTACTGTAAACAGCTCTTCTGTACGAAGACCGGGTTCGAATTATCCAACCGGCGCACTTTTCGTACTTCGAAATATGCATTCGATTTTGACTTGAAGTGACTTGCAGAAGATCGGTACGACGAAAAAGTACGAAATACACGGAATGTTCGAATTATACCGTATTCGAATTAGAGGGAGTCTACCTGTATGGCCTGTTATGGTTTTATTTGCTAACAATTGTGATTTTTCTTCATGACCACGTCTTAGATAATTTCCTCCTTAAACGACTTTAAGTTTTTCTTGTTGCCTTGTGATATTGAAAATTTGAGTTTTGTCATAGATTATATTTTTTCCTTTGTTTTAAAAGTATAGATTATTGTAGCAGGTGAATATCAAAGTTCCGAATGTTTGAATGCGATACACGCATAAATGTTCTGGAACAAAAACAAATATCGCATGTTATGGTTTTTCATTGCAAAAAATCGTGCTTTTTCTTTCTGATTACGTCATATATATTGTTCCTCGTTCAACAGGTTATCATAGAATAAGAATTTTCTTGTCATGATGAACTTTAGCAGTTTGTCAGTAATTATGGTGTTTCGTCTGCATATTCCTGAAAATGGCCCCGTAATCCTTACTAACTGACAATAACCCCGCATGGTTGATCTGTTTGATGACCGCCAAAAAGCTAATCAACGGCTGTTTCTTGGATAACATGTGGGTGTCCATGGTGTTTGCCTCCTATTCACGGGTACATTTTAAGAATAGTGATCAAAGTGACACGCTGCAAGCGAGATTTTTGACCAGCAGGGTATGTTGTGACGGATGTTAAGACGGGACATTTACACAACAATACGTCACGCAATTTGTGTGTTGCCTTTCTCTTTTAGCACACCAGGATACGTGGGATATACTGAAATGGGCGACCCCAGACTACACGGCTGTTAGCTGCACTTGGATCGCGGCAACTTAGTTTTCTGCACGTGAACCATGAAAAATAAATGCATGCTCATGCATGTTCATGCATAACCAGTCAGCTGGCCTGCTCGCCCACGCATTTGACAGGTAACAATTCCATCAAATTTGAGATATCGCTTCGTTCTAAGTCTCAAAACAGTTCTAAAGTCACCAAACCACGCTGGTAATCGATGGCTATTCAATGTTAACATCTTCAGGAAGACTTCAGCCGTTTCCGAGAGTTTGGGCATCGTTGCCATTATTTTTCACGGTGTTCTTCTTCCTCCTGTCTGGAGCTGCAATTGCATCCTGGAATTATTTGAAAGGTATTTCGTGCGGGCTGTGGGGGGTTCCAACAGGCATAAACTGACATCGCTATAGGATAACTGGTAACTTTCACCCTTCAAGGAGGTAGAGCAATGAGAATTTTTTTGTGGCGGTCGTCCAATTTTTGTGGCGGTCGTGGCTGTATTTGTGCACTTCCAAGGCTT